AATTACTTAAGTTACTCTTTAGCAACTTAGTATTTTAGTAAGAACGTTTCCAAAGTGGTTTTCAGCTGCTAAAAGGATACCATTTTGCAACTAAGTAGATTCTATAAGAAGCCACTTTGCTCAAATCCAACTCCCTGGGACCAGAAATTTGCAAGATTATGTATTCCAATTCCATTCTTCTAAATATTTCCATTAACATCCCTCTCAAAAGGAAGTTAAATACAATGGGGGTTTTGTTATGGAGTTGAAACTTTTCACTGCCTTTCTTTCCTCCTCCATCACAGATTTCCTCCTCTTTTGCAGAGACCTAACAGAAACATGCCTGCAGGAAACTGCTCCAGAGGGCATGCTTCAATGCTTTCTCAACTTTTGTGGGGAAACTACCACCTGACATGAACATTTTGTTCAGAGCCAAGTGTCAAGAAATGCTGTGCTTCTCTTGAGGATGTGTCATGGTTTCTCACGCCTCATGAGGTCTAGAAGAGAGCTCTGGTGATCTATTAGATAAGGAGTTGTGTTGCCAAACCAAAGGCTGAAGGATCAAATTCACTGGCTGCTACAGGGAGATGGACAATCTTCTCAAGTACGATGTACAGACTCTGAAAACCCACTGCCAGTCAGCCATGAGTAAGTTCTGAATTGACAGCACTGAGTCTTAGTTTGTGTTTATGAAGTACAGAACAGTTTCTGTTTTCATTTTGATCCCCAAGTCAAGGGTCTCGCTCATATTATAGTAACTATTACTTTTGTTTTCATGAAGACCCTCTTAGTCCCAACCTAACCACTTAATAAATGGAGAAAACAATGATGTTGTCGAAGTTTGCATTTTACTCAGATCCACAATTAACATTCATGAAGCAGTAGTCAAGATATCAAAAACATATTGCACGGGAACAATCTACTGCAAAAGTCCCTTTTCACCTGTTCTAGGTTGGTGTTCTAGTGGCCTAGTGGTAAGAAGCCAAGGATTCTGAAGCTTCAACTGACATATTTTGGGCATGTTACAAGGAGGGACCAGTCCTTGGGGAGTGACATCATGTTTGGGAGGGTGGAGGGATAGCACAGGAGAAGAAGACCCTTGATGAGATGGATAAATTTGGTGATTGGGGCAATATGGGTGTGGGTGTCAGAGACAGTGAGGTTAGCAGAGGATAGAGCAGAGTTTAGGGCTCTTTTGCATAGGGTCACTGTGAGTTGCAATCGACCAGACAGCACATAACAGGCTGCAATAGGATTAAAAGTTAATTATTTGGTGTTGGTGTTGTTACTTAAGAAATTTTGTCCCCTCTTCATGCTGACGAGTCCTAATTTTTCAGGCTGTTTCGAAACACATTCTTGATCTTCTTAGTTGTTCGGTGGGGAAGGGGGAACGACACACAAAACAAAAAATGAAAACAAAGAGTTTTCAATTCTATCATATATTATTTGGAGGAAGTGAAATCAGAGTGCTCCTTAGAGCCAAGGATGGTGACATTTTGTCTTACATACTCTGGCATACGGTAAGGAGGAACTGATCAGTCCTTGGGAAGAGACATCATGCCGGGAAATGTGGTGGGTGAGAGAGGAAGATCCTGAACAAAGTGGGCTGACTCAGGGACTGTAATGATTGGCTCAGCCACGACAGAGCTCCTGAGGATGGTGCATGCGAGGTTAGGGCAAGGTTCGTATTTGTTCGTTGACTCAACAACAACATGTATCATTGTCCTGCCAATGAAGTTTCTTAAATTTTTAAAGATTCTCTCCTGAAATTTTACTCCCTCACTCATTCACTGCCATTGAGTCAGAAATGACTCCTTTTTGACCAACCAGCAGGTTTTCAGAGGCTATAAATCAGATGGGAAGAGACTGCCATGCCACTCCCACAGCAGCTGGTGGGTGCAAACTGCCTGCCTCTGGCACGAGTCTTTGCTCACAAGACCAGTACACTCCCTAAAATATTACCCATTATGATGAGTATTAAGATTAAAATATTCTTCAATTCATTAAATGCCAGAACCTTATGTAATAGAAACAGAATACCTAAATAAATGGTGCATACATGTCCAAGGACTAAAGTATTATCACTGTGATAACTGAACGCTGTGCCACTGGTGTGTCAAATGCCATAACGGTTACCCATGGTGGACACTGTTTGGTATAGCTCCCAGATTAAAACAAGCTTAGAAGCAGGAGTGGCATCCACTTCTTATATAGTGGACCTTTGGAAACCCTATAAACAGAAAAATGACGATAGTTACAGGGTTCAGATCTAACAACAAATGCTCCCATAGTTAATAGCTCATACCAAACTGAACCATATCTACTGCCAACTCTCTATTCATAGCAACTTTATTGGGTTTCCAACTATAGGAAGTCTCATTTTTCTACCATGGAGCAGATTCAAACGGCTGAACTTTTTAGTTAGCTACTCAGCACTTAACAAAGCTCCATCATAACTGTTAATATTTGTCAATAACTTCATCAAAGCACTGTTGGGGGAAGGGCCGTAGCAAAAGTGTAATTAGGACCCACACTATGCCTCACCCTGGGGTTGATTCTATAATGCCTTCTTAGGATCAATCTAATGCTTTTATTTTGTTAAATATATTCTTAAGTGGGAAAAAATCTTCTATTTAACTGATATATCACTAATCCAACACACAAGGAAAAGGCAGAAACTAAGTAATGTCAAAGTTCATGTCTACACATGCCCACATTTCTCATGAAATTCAACTAAAGCTTTCAATTGAAATGCAATACTAAGAGACCTAGCAAACTCGAGTATCTGATTCCCAAGCCCAGAATAGATGAGAAAAAGAGAAATAGTATTACATGAATAATGAAAATGTCAAGAAGTAACAGCTGGTTAGCAAAAATGGGGGAAGGGGCAGATAATCAGGACTTCTGAATCAGCACCCCAAGGTGGGTCACTATACTTAAGCATCACATTTTAAAGAGTTAACATTCTTAGAATAGTCCAGCTTTCTTCTATAACTGCGGACAAACCACGTCCTTTCTGAGCCAAGGAATCCAGTCTGTAAATGTTGAACACCAACAATCCTCCCCACCTCACAGGGAGGCTGTGCTGTAAGATCAAAAGACTTCCTATGAAAGGATATTGTATGAAAGGTCCATATAAATGAAAGACGTTATGAACAGATGGGTTTGGAGCTTAAAGGGCTAAACCAACAGCCATTAGATCCTAAAAATGGAGGCTTTACTGTGTTAAGAAGTATAGCTATCTGAACTCAGTCTATGCGATCCCTGCTCGATAATAAGTAGAAAAGGTGTTCCATTCGTCAGCAAAAATAAATATGGATATTAACATTCAAGAAAAGTCATTTACTTGAAGAACTGCCAAAGTACCTTGTTTACAAAGAAAATAAAAAAAGGTAAACTCATTTGCTGGCAGCAGTGAGAACTAAGGTGCACAAAGCGGAGGAGGCTCTCACACCCAACAGTTTGGGCTTGCTGATTCCTCTGGAAAGGACTCTTAGTTACATTTTGCATACCTTGAAAGAAATTGAGTAACACTTTGCAACTAAATTTCAAGTCAGAGGTTTGTAAATCTCATTCATTCATATGCCACTAAGCTTTTGGTTCATTGTAAAAGGTTCAGGAAACCCGTTTCTAAATGGGTCATTAGCATTTAACAAGGTAAAGGACCTAAACCTTTCCATTTCAGATTGCGAGATTAAAACCAACTCCTTGCTTCCAAGATTATTCAAAATCCATCAACAAAATTACACAGTAGGGTGTGGGTGTGTGTGTGTGTGACTGCCTCGACATAGACTACTCCACACCGCTCCGGCACTGACATGTCACATCAATGACACCACCACCAGCGGTCGGACGGTGCGGGGCAATCCTGACATGCTTCGGCCCCCGGGAGGGGAATGGGAATTAAACCACAGCGGCTCTCCTTTGTAGAGCTTTGGCCAGAACAGCAGAAAGGAGACAATGAGCGTTCTGTGTGCAGTTCTGCGCGGATTGGCTGGTTTCTCTGCCCCCCCTTCATCCCCCCCCAAACCCCCTGATGTCATGAGCTTGGAATGCGGGAGGGAGGAAGGAAGGAGGAGATTTGGGGAGGGGGACGCCTCTCATCTCTTTCTCACACCGAAGTCCTAGAGATAAACCCAACGCATTCTTCATACTAGGCAAAGTGGAAAAAGATGAGAGCCACCAAAGCCCAATTAACTGCAAACAAGCACCCCCTTCCGCAAATAAACCCTAAACAAAAGCAAAGTAACAAAGATCCTCCGTGTGGTAGTCTATCGCACAACCAACTTCTCGGAGATGAAGTCTCTTTTTGAGTCTATAGAAGACATCAAAGCAACTCTCAAAGCAACGCGCCAAAGCTTTGTCTCAGTTTCCAAAAGAAACAACAATTTGACCGAGGGCACCAACACCGGGAGAGAGAAGAGTCCCCGACCCGCCCTCGTTCCTCTCGAGAGCAGGGGAGGGGGCAGTGGGGGGTCTTCCTCCCCGCTAGGAGAGGAACAATGAGGGGCCCGGAGTCTGGCCACGTAACCGCCTAACTGCGCTCGATGCTGAATTCCGCTCAGGAGATGAGGTGGGAGGAGGCGCAAACTCGGCCTGCAGCTCCAGCCGGGACAGGATGGCGGGGGCTGCAGCGCCGGCTCTCCGGTCCCAGGGCGCTGGCCGGCCCCACCTAGGGACCAAAGGCCCGGCAAGAGCGCCCTCTTCCCGGTGGGGCGCGCCCTACACCCGCGGGACGGCCTCTGAGGTAGGAGGCGGACACTGCGGGATTCCAGACCGCCGGGGGCCCTCAGCCAGCCGCGCGTCCGCCTGGGGCTCGGGAACAAAGCTAGGAGAGCGCCCGGGAGCCGGCGCGGCCGCACGGGAGGACCAGCCCGGGGCGCGCGCTGACATCTGCGCCGCCTCGACGTCTCCTCTCCGCGCAACCGACGAGCTCAGGGTTCCCTCGGCCGGCCGCCTCCCAGGGTGGCGTCACATACCCCTCGTGCAAAGGAGCCCGGTCCCCTCAACGCCCGGCGTACCTTGTTCTTGACCTCGGCCGAGAGCCCGTAGGAAGGGCCCTTGTTGAAGTGAGTCATGGTGGCTCGGGCGGCGGCGAAGGCTGCGCTCGGTCCGGGGTCTCTCGCACTCGACTCTCCCGCTTCTGGCCCCAAGAAGTGGATGCAGCGGGAGATGCGCGGAGCTCGCTCTCTGGGCGGCGCGGAGGGCGCGCTGGCGCAGGGGCGGAGGCGACGCTGGCGTCCGACTGGATCTCAACAGAGCCGCCTGGTGCGCGCTGGCGACCCGCTCGCTGGTTCGGCTTCGGCCCCGCAACTCCGCACGAACTGCCCCCCACCCCTTCCCCGGGGCCTTTAGGGATTGGCCGATGCGCCCGGCCAATGGAAAGCCGCCGCCTCCCGCCTCTTTACCGAGGGGCCGGCGCGGCCAATTGTAGGGCTGCGGGTGCCGCGCTCCCCTGCCCGCGGGTCTCCGGCCCCCGCCCCCGCCCTCACGCCACCGAGGCCGCCGCCGAGGAGGCTCCTCCTCCGGGCCCGGCCGGAATGAAGACTGGCCCCGCTGACGACCAGGCGCTCCCGCCCCCAACTCTGCGCCTGGGGGCTTCCCAGCGTCCGCACTTCAAGTCGGCTTTCAGGCATCCGCCGCGGCGCCCGGGCGGGTGGTGGGGAGGGGAAGCCCGCCGGGACTGGCCCGCCGCTGACCCGCCGCCTCCGTCGGCTTCCTCCCCGGCTCGCGGCCCGACGCACCCAGAGGAAGCGGAGCGCCCCGCCACCCGCAGTTGGGGGACACCTCGAACCGCTTAGGAGTTTCTGCGCAGGGGGTAGAAAGGAGCTCCGCTCACCAACACCTGCTCCTTCTCTCACCTTGCCGCCTCCACACCTGCTGATCTGACCTCGACGCGACTGCCGCACCTGGGGCAGACGTGCTTTCGGCCAAGCGCAACTCATTCCGAGTTAAAACCTCTGAATGCAGCGCAGAGCAACTGGGGAAGGTTGCATGGCAAAACCTGGGACATTTCAGGTCCTTTTCTGGATTCACACCAGATCCTCTTTACAATCAATTCCATATTCAGCTAGTTCAAATGCCAGGTGGCTGTCGCTCTGCAAACTTGGGAGAAAAAGGGAATAAAAGATTGACCTCTTTGACTCTGTGGTTTTGTAGAAAGAAACGTCTTTTAGGCCAGAGGTAGCCTCTTTTGTTTCCTGATTCTGCTACCTCTCCACTTGCTCTGAGCTCACATCCATTTAAGAGAAGAGCAAGGGAACAGAACATTTGGTCACTCAATTGACCTCTTGGCATTGGGGGGGGGGTGGACACCCCGCTCAGTTGCTCCAGTTCACTGAACTCCTGATGACCTCGTATGTCGTAGTGATGTGTCACAGTCATGGGCCTCACAAGTTTTCACTGGCAAGAGTTTTTTGGAAGCAGATCTCCAAACTTTTCTCCTAAGGTGGATTCATTCAATCCTCCGTGGCCTTCCGACCTTTCAGTGCACATTAACCATTTGCATTACACACAGTCTCCTCATCTACTGCCTGCAGGCGGCTACTAAGTAAATGTTGTCATCATTGTAGAGGTCAGAACGTTGAACCTCCAAGACCTGACCAAGGCCTGTCCACCTCCGTAGCTTCCCCTGCTGCCACCGCCTTCCAACGAGCACTCAGTACAGTCTTCAGTCCCTGAGCTCCCAGTATGAAAGTTTTATCTACCAAGAATCACCTGAGCCTGAAGATAATGGAACCAGGTGTGGCAACCTGTTTTTGAAAAGGAGCCAAAGCTCCTCCTAGAACAGAAGTGGATAAGGCAAGTTTATAAAGAAATGCACAACTCTTGTTAACTTTGCAAAGATTTTTTAAATTACTCTTGGGTGGGGGGAAGCTTGAGGGAAAAGGGAGGAGGCTAATAAGGGACAAAGTGAAATGATTTATAAGTGATTTGCTAATTTATTCAAGAGGCAGTAATGATAATTAGAACATTCTTCCCACACAAAGATGACACAATTGACCCACAATTAGTGGGACAAGCAGTTTGGGCTGTTTTTCTAGTAGTGTCATAGTGGCAATATGGCTTTCACAGGCCTCACCCTGTCTCCTTTGGGACCAAGAGGTGTGGGAAATACCAGGTTCAAGGTACAAATTCAAGTGCCTTTCTGTGCCCAAACTGTAAGACTTTTCTGCTGTGATTTAAGCCTGTCTTCTAGTGGAATAGAGAATACATGATCAAAATATTTCCACCTACTTATAGGTCATTTCATATATAATGTTTAAAAAATGTCCTCACTTTTATTATGGGGTGGGGGAAGTGTAGACAAAAACTTTACTCCAGTCAAAATATATCCTTATTAAAATAATATTTTTTAAAGATAGCATATATTATTATACTGTTGAGTACCATCTAGTCAGAACCAACCCATAGCTGACCATCCAGCGAGGTTTCAGAGGCAGTTAATCACACAGGAGGAGATTGTCCATCCTTCTCCTGTGGAAAGGCTGGTGGCCTCGAACCATGGGCCTTCGGGACTGCAACACAGCTTCTTGCCACATACTGTTGATTGCCTTTAAGTTGAGCACGACTCATAGCGACCCTATGAACAACAGGCCTGAAACACCTCTACAGCTATTGACATTTATCAAAGCTCACTAGTTAGTTAATATATATTTGACTCTTATTTGTCAAACACACTTTTCTTTTGTTAAGTTCTCCCAGCTGGTTTCCATTCTTAGCCAGTACTCCTTCCCCCAGCTACCACTCATGGAGGCTTCCATGCTGCATTATGCTAAGCAAGCTTCAGTGAAGTTTCCAACTCAAGTGGACAAAGAAGAAAAGCCTGGTAATTTAAAAAAAGAAACCAATAAAACCATAAGATTACAATGACCCTTTCTATCATTAGGCTAGTGCTGTAATGTGGAGTGTTTCATTCAGTTGTGTACAGGAAGTTGGGACTCGCTCAAGACCACTAACAACAACTTTCTGTTGTTGTTATGTGCCATCGAGTCGCTTGCAACTCTTAGCGACCCTATCTATGTACAAGAGCCCTAAATGCCATTCTACCCTGTGCCAACCTCGCTGTCTCAAACACACTCATTCCCACCACTCCACTCACAGAATCGATCAATCTCATTGAGGGTCTTCCCCTCCTGTACCGTCCCTCCATTCTCCCAAACATGATGTTCCTCTCCAAGGACCAGTCCCTCCTTGCAACATGCCCAAAATATGTCAGACGAAGCTTCAGAATCCTTGACTCCAAGGAGCAGCCCAGTTTCACCCTCTTCAGGACAAACCTGTTTGTTCTCCTAGCAGTCCATGGTATATTCAACACTCTTCTCCAGCACCACAGCTCAAAGGCATCAACTCTCTTTTTATCATCCCTAGTCACTGTCCAACTATCGGATGCATAGCACATAATTGCGAAGACTATAGCCTGGATCAGGCAAACCTTAGTCTGCAGCCTGATGTCATTGCTCTTCAGTACTCTTGAGAGGTCCCTCACAGCAGACTTTCCCAATGTAATTCATCTCCTGATTTCCTGGCTGCTGTTACCAAGAGTGTTGACTGTGGAACCAAGTAAACTAAAACTGTTAATTATCTCAATTTCTTCACCATCCATGCTGATGCTGCCAATCGACCCAGTGATGAGAATCTTTGTTTTCTTGATGTTGAGCTTCAATCCATATTGAAGGCTGCAGTCCCTGACTTTGACTTTCTGCAGCAAGCGCTTCAGGTCCTTCTCAGTTTCTGCTGGCAGGGTTGTGTCATCTGCATAACACAGGTTGTTCATGACTCTTCCACCAATCCTGATGCCACATTCCTCCTCAGACAGCCCAGCTTCTTGGATGATCTGTTCTGCATACAGATTGAAAAGGTATGGAGACAGAATACATCCCTGATGGACCCCTTTCTTGATTTTGAACCATGTAGTGTCTCCTTGCTCTTTTCTGACGACTGCCGCTTGGTCCAAGTATAGATTTCGCATTAGCACAATCAAATGTTCTGGGATTCCCATTCTTCTCCGAGTCAGCCATAGCTTTCTGTGATCCACACAGTCAAAAGCCTTTGCATAGTCGATGAAGCACAGACAGACATTCTTCTGGTATTCTTTGCTTTCTGCCAAGATCCATCTAACATTAGCTATAATATCCCTAATACCATGACCTCTTCTAAATCCAGCCAGCACATCTGGCAGTTCTCTGTTGACATATTGTTCCAAACATTTTTGGATAATTTTCAGCAGAATCTTGTTTGCATGTGATATCAATGATATATCAATATTCTATAATTACTCTGTTGGGTCACCTTTCTTTGGAATGGTTTCTTTTGGAATAGTGTTAATGAAATTCAATTTATCAATTTTACAAATATATGAGTATCAGTTTTACAAATAATGCTTTCAGTATCTTACCTAAGAAATCTTTGCCAAAGTTATAAAAATGTTTTTATAGATATTTGATACTTTAGAATCTACTTTTAGGTTTATAATCTATTTTAAGTTAATTTTGCATGTGGCATAATGTATGGATTGAAGTTCCCTCTTTTTCACGTATGGTTGTCCAATTTTTTCAATAATATTTATTGAAATGACTATCCTATCTCCACTGAATTGCCTTTGATGCTTGTCTAAATCAATTGGACATGTATGTGATTATCTATTTATGGATATTTTATTCTGCTGCATTGTTCTATTTGCCTATCCTTATTGCAATCTTACACCATCTTATTTATTTATTATTTCTTACTTTATACCACATTTTAAGTCTGAAATAGATCATCAGATCAGAAAATAATATTCTTCCAACTTTGTTTTTCCACACTGTTTTGGCTTTTCTAGGTCCATTGACTTTTTACAGTAGTTTTAGAATAAGGTTTTAAATTTCTACAAAAATTTCTGCTGGATTTTGGTTGTGACAACATTAAATATATACACCAATTTGGGAATAATTGGCGTATGTAATATTATGATAGGGAGTAGTGGTGGCCTAGTGGCAAGAAACTGCACTGCAATACCAAAGGCAGGTGGTTCAAATCCACCAGCTGCTCTGCGGGAAAAGAATGGGCAATCTGCTGTGAGATTAACTGCCTCTGAAAACCCACTGGAGAGTCAACTACAGGTTGCTTTTGACTCAGCAGTACGCAACAACAACACAAC